TTTAGCTTAGCTTATACCATCCGTTATACATTAAACATGCATGCGTAAACTTATTATGTGCATGCATTAAGGCATTATGCGTTGACACATGCGCAAAAAGTTTGTAGCTTTGAAGTCCGTATCATAGATCATTCCGGATTATGGACTTTCGGATTAAAGACTTTTGACTGTATTGGAAGATATTTTCATTATATCTTGAAATAGGGAAACAAAGATATGAGACTGCATTTAATTCTAATCATTGCCAATTCAATGGTTCCGAATTATAAAAAAAAAAAAAAAAAAAAAAAAAAAATGGGATATTAGATTTTCTTTTTTATTTACAATGATAGAATTAACTGATTTCTCACGAATTTAAAAACAAAAGCTGACAAATTAGAAAATGCAAATATTTAGTATCAAATCCATACAAACTCATTCAGGAAGCAAAACCATGCATCCCTATACAAATTATACATTTTCCTTAACTTCCTCTCCTTTCAGCTGCAGGGTACTAAGCATAAATGCACTTTTAGGGCATTTAGACAAAAGTAAAAATGTTTTCACTAGATGAAAAAGTTACTTTGATCACCCTATCCCCCCTCCAGAGAAAGTAAGACAGATAACTAATGCTCTTTTTATTGTTATGTATAAAGTATATAAGTATAGAGTAAGATATTTTTTTTGTATGAACTAAGAACTGACCTACAAACTAAAAAAAAAAGTTGCCTTTCTATAATTCTTAATCTTCATTTTCTTTGCATGATACAAGAGAAGCAAACACATTGCACTTGGCACAAATCTATTACAGTTTTGTGTAATTTTTTAACCCCTAATTCAGCTAATTTTCATTTGCTGTTTATACAGGATTATAGTTCACATCCATCTTTTTCTTTCTTTCTTTTACCCTTCTCTATGTAACCTGGGCATCTTATTAATAAATTTTTAATTATAAATTTACAACTAATAATATAATTATATATAGAATAATAAGAATATGCAGAGAAAAAAGAATGAAAACAACTTAGGATTGTATTTCAGAGCGAACTCCATTACCCCCTTTTTATATTCCCCTAGTTTTCACAGCAGTAAGATTACTGAGCACAGATAGTTTGACTCATCAGATAAGCTAATTGCATTGAAGTTTTCATGGTTTTCCCCATGTAGAACATGAATGCCAGTTTTTCTCAAAAAGCCCTCCACAAAAGCACCCTTTTCCTTACACAGATAGCCCTCATGAGCTTTGTCATAATCTAACCAAAAGGTCATACTTCTGAACACTCATATCCTGAAAGAGAAAATCATGTTTTCTCCAACTATTTAATCATTTGTGTAAATAAAAGCTTATTAAGTTATAAGGTATTTCTTCTACCTTCCTAGTGTGCCTTCGTGGTGTAGTGGTTCAGCACACTGGGCCAGTATTTCAGAGGTCCATGGCTTGATTCCCGGCGAAGGCGGTTGCTCATTTTTCATACTGCCTGCTTCCAAAAAAAAATACCTAAGGTCTCTACAAAGTCACCAACTTGCCAAAACTTCATTGCTTTGTTAACTATTTAAAGGACTGAAATTAGAAATCTCCTCACTCTTTTTTTTTTTTTTTTCTTTTTTCATAAATTTAAAAAATCACAGTTACTGAAAAGACTTTTAATTTATGTTCATATTAAGCTGATAATGTTGAGCTGTTTCAAGATGCTTAAAGTAGCTAGTAAATGAAAAATACATCTCTTTTAAGATGATTGAAAGTGAAAATCATGAGCAATAAATGTTAAATAAAATAAATTGTAATTCATACTAAATAGATTCAGCATCACCTGTTACAAAATATTGCATATTTTTAGTAGATACATAATTTATAATAAATAAAAAAGGACTACTTTTCTTTGAAGTTAATCCTCAGGCAGTAAAAATATGGTTAGTTAATAAGATAGTTTCTAACAGTTTATGAATTTATATCACTCAAAGAGGAAACCACTAAAGCGTTAATACCATCACCAAAAATCAAGCCAACAGCCAAAGACTTTATTTGAATGCACTAACTTATTAGCTCAGAGACCTTGGAAGTAATGATTTGTGCTCATTCTCAAAATCAACACATGGCTTGTTGAAACCTTTGCAAAATGCAATTATGTGCTAAATGACCTAGGGGATATATAGATTAGAAAAGCCTGTTCAACTCTGATGATCCATAACAGACAAAAAATGACGTGAAAAAACATTTCATACTTGGCGAAAGATGCAACGACACAAATGAAACATTTAGGTTTGTTAGATCACTGATTTAACTCAAAGGATAAACACATTTTCTGCTCTAAGAATAGCATTTTGGTGAATGAATTACATCACTGTATTTTGCAAATGTTAACTCATTTCCAAAGGGGGGAAACTGAAAAATTGAATGCTCTTCTAAGTCAAAATTTACTGTCAGGCCAAATAGATCAGTGGTTCCCTCCATTTTTCAAGACTGATCCTAATCAAAAATATGTTAAACACAAAAATCATTATTGGCAAACATTTATTCTGAGTATGATACAGTATGTCTTTTTTTAAAAAAAATTCCACCCAATTTGGGACATTGTAGCAGCAAACCCTTTTTTCAGCACTTCACTGCATTTTTTTTTTTTTTTTTTTCTGTAATTCCATGTCACTAAATTTTCCCATGTTAAAAGAACTAGATATTTGTCAACAAACCACCTTAAGTAAAGTGGCAGTTTACATCAATGGCACAGATGTTCCAAATAAATATATAAATCCACAACATGATGTAAATAAGCTCAAAAACCATATTAACATTGTCATTGTGGTATAAAATCTGGAGGATAAAATTAGATGTGAACAAATGTTGTACTGTCCTTTTCATGAAAATAACTAAATTTTGAAAAGCATACGCAGTATACGTTACAGGATGCAAATGCAGCCTACATGGCTATATAAGTCTTGTAGGCAGAAAACACAAATTAAAATTACGTGTTAAAAGTACTTTGCTTTTTTATTAGACCTGTATGATTTTATGACAGCTGCTCTGAAAATGAACAGGGGAAAAAATTATGCATTTTTCAGAATAAAGTTCTGAAAGAATTGACTAAACTGAAAATTTTAAAATTGTCAATTTCTATAATTATTTCATTATTGTAGAGCATATCTTTTTTATAAAGACTCAAAGCCTAGATATCCCACAACAGCATAACTTACTAGATATGACTTTACATCTGAAATGCTCCATTAAACAGCAAGAACAATTTATTATAATTCAAAATGGTGAAGTAATCATTTTGAATGCAGCATCACAATAGTCTACAAACATTAGTGACAGACTCATACCTGAAAGAATATCAAGTTTCCACTCAAATACCATTTTTTGTGGTCACTACTTGGAAAAGTAACCTCTAAAGTGAAAAGCTTGAATTTATTCTGAACTCATCAGTTTGTTAGCGCTACCTTACAAATTAAATATCCAAATGACAGTGCTTCAGCACTCTTCTTTTAAACTTTCTAAAAAGCCTAAGTGAAGAAATTGAATGACAAAGACTCAAACTCAGAGGAATTAATGTTGGTAAAAGACAGAAGTTCCACGTTTCAGCTATTCATTCCATTTCCAGCTGACAAAACAGACACGTTATCTGCTAAAGCTCCTATCGTGCCAGTGTTAAATACAGTTTTAACAAATCAACCTAGAACACTTTAGGTACTTACATATTAAACCATTGACTAGCCAAGTAGCACAATTTAGTGCCAATTATGGATGAGTATGTCCTTTACAATTCTACACTAATGACTGGCGACTGTTATCAAAATTTCTGCCAGTGACCGATGGGATAATACACAAGTACCACATTTTATTTTAGCTTCCTAAACATATGGCTTTTAGGTTTTCAACATAATGTAAATGTCACACAAAAGTAACTTTGTGATCTTGTTTCTATCTCTACATTAAAAAAATCTATATTATTTTCTTACCCAAAGTACAATTACATTTTCAAATACTTTTTAAATTCATAGAAAAGCTTACGTCTGTCTTAGATATATTTAAGCATGTTTGTTAATAGATGAGAAGGAATTCAAGTATTTTGAAATATAAACAAAACACAAACTAATATTCAACATAAAATTCTTATAATGTCTGACTTTTATCAGCACTTCTACTGCCACATATATTCCTCTGCACTTACTTTATCATTCTAAAATTATAATGCTTAATATTTTCTTAAATAATTTTTGGGATTTAAATACTCGGATTTTCAAAAAGTTCTCAGTGATGCTTTCAGAAAAAATCCCCAGACATTTTTATATATTTGTAATTTCACATTTAATTATTTTTAAATAATTTATTAAATTTTTCATAATATCTATTTTATTTTTAGCTTAAATTTGGTGTGACTAAAATCGCAAATACCTTCAGGGTTTTAAGTATTTTAGCACTATATGCTCATTTGAATTTATTACCAATTGCTTTATCTATAAAATACAATTCTATTACAAATACTCTATATTTATTTCTATTGTTCTCTCTTCTTCTAAATGATTTTTCTACTAGTTTTTCTTTCTTTCTTTTCTTTTTTATTTATTGACATTATCTACTTTAATCTATATTAGGAGCACTTAGTGAGAATTTGTAATAAATATATTCTCACAATATTTTTTTGCATTTTGTTTGCTTTCTCAACTGTTTAAGCACACATATATTCATGTTATACATATTTCTCCATGATTTTAATTGCAAAGAGATCTTATCATTAGAGTCATAGCTCATTTCTGACATTCATAAATATTTTGAGCTAAAACTGATAAAACTATTCAACAAAGTGTCAGGTTACAAAGGAAGCATTAGTTGAATTAGAATTAAATATTATGTTGAAAAATAATTCAGTAGATTTAAGGGCACAGCAGATATAGACCAAAGAATATAATATTATACATAAAAACTGACATCTGAGAAGATAAAAAAAAATTCTGATTTAATTCAAGAATCTTATGTCACATTATGAAGATTAATGAAAATTTTGAAGTACATAATTCATTGATACCTGAATTTTACCCCACAATCGACATTTATCACATCCAACACAATCCATTATCCTTGAAATATTACGAAAATGCAGTCGAAATTCTTCCTAATAACAGTTACATAAACATTTCAAAATTTACATTTTATGCAAGCATAAAAAACATTCTAACTGAGCAATATTATATACCAAAAAAAAAATTTTTTTTTAATTAAGTGAAAGATCATTCATATCAAACAAACTGTTTATGCAGAAATGATATGACAGAACAACTCATTTTATCATTTCTGCATTTTGATTATATAACTAGATCATTAATTTAACTTTTGTTTTCCATTTTATTATCAAAAAAGTTTGCATAATTTAATGGCACTTAAATCCATAAATTAACTATACCGATCTTTTTATAAAACCCTGAATAATGTTACTTAAATATTCTGAAAGGTATTAAAAATTGAAAATTTAAATAATTATTTTTGTACAGAATATAAAATAACTAGATTTAAAAAGAAAATTTTAATAAGAAGGAGAATAAATTGTCTAAAAAGAAAGCAAAAGTTTTAGCATGTATACATGTTATCCAGGTAAAAAAATACGATGTTTATTCATGTATTATTTTCCCCTTATCTTTTCAGCACAAGTTTTGAAATTTTTTTTAAGTATTCAGATAACTTTTCTCTTCCTCAAGGCGTTCACAGAAAAGTTTCCCTAAATTTCAAAATGGATTCAATGATATAGTAATTGTTTTTGTCTTACTAATTGATTAGCTTGTTGGTTTTAGGTACACGGTCTCTGATTGATGAAGCAGTAACAGCAAAGAATTTCAAGAAAACAGGAATATCTGATGCTCATGATGATTCTAAAGATCATCATGAGCACATGGGAAGAGAGACTGAATAGAGAGGATGGCAAAAACTGGCAAGCTGTAATAGACCATACAGACAACAGTTCCAGCAGAATTAAATAATTTAAGGCCTAGGGAGTAACAGTGGACTAGAGTAAGAGCAGATGAGATTTGAGATAGATGAATCTTATTAGATATTGGTAATGTTTATATTAGTACTAGGCAATCTTAATGGAATAAAATTTCTTTGAAATAAATAATATTGTGATAGTGTTAAAAATTTGGTTCAAGATTTCACCAAATTATAGTACTGGAAAAGTTGCAAATAAAAGATGGTGAAATACTGAACGATTATTTGGTGTTTCGGTGGAACCTTTATTTGGTAAGAGGTTGAACCATGAACTGGCATTATGTTGAACCAAGAATGGGAAATGTTGAACCATACATCGGGAATATGTTAAATGGACTATATTACAATAGGGATTAAGAATACTTTAAAACATAAATTATAATTATGTTTACCATTAACTGTACATTATAGGAAGTTATTTGAGAGCTCAGGCATAAAATTTATATTAGCCATTTTACGGTATTTTTTTTTTTTTTTTCAATTACTGCTATGCTGAATAAAACAAATACTTAACCTAGTATATTTATTTTATTCATTAATGCTATGGGTAAGCAAATTGCTTATGCAAATCAGCATATCTATAGCAATAATTATTGACAATTTGGCTAACATAGCAATCTGGTTTATTTGCATAAGATTATGAATCAATTTTGAAAGAATGAATGTATAAAATATGTATCATTAAAATACATACTTGGATTATATTAACATGTATATAAAAATATATTTTTACTACTCCAGTATTTATTCAGACTCAGCCTTCAGACAATCCAAATCACATGCAGTAAAAATCCACTCATCAGGGCCCTACAGAAACTCTTAAAAAAGACACTAAAATACTAAAAGCCTGAACTCAAGTGGGTACCTGCTCACACCGGAATACTGGGTAATGAAATTGCAGATGCAACAGCCAAAAGTGCAGCAACTGACCCTCACATTCGCACACTTGATGTGCCTCTCCCGGGTTCATTCTTAAAAGCTGAGCTCGAGAGAGAATAATTGAAGTGTTGGCATTGAGAATTACTGAATCTGTGGGAGATAGACTACCGGCAGAAGAGTTTACAGATTTTTCCCAAAAGTCTGCCGGCTTCTACACTCATGTCCATAAATTAAGGATAATTCGGAGTCACGTGGGAATCTAACTCTAAAATAAATATATCACCTGTACAATCACTACACACATCTTCAAGAATCATATGCAAATTTCAGGAAGTAAACAGATGACACCGATGGACATCAATGACTTAGAGTGATAATAGGAATACAGGCAAAAGAAAAAAATTGCTGCAGGCACTTTATAACCTTTCAGTGCAATAACCGAATAGTATGACACAAAGGATGCATTTGGATGATTTGGTACGTGGGTTAGAATTATCGGCCGTCTGGAATGTGGGCGACCCAACGGAAGTAAGTCAAGACGAATTCGAATTGCCCAGAGTGTCATTTCCAGGCTTGGCAACGATTCCAAGATGAGGTATGTGAGTAGAGTTACAGCACAGGTCGCCCCGAGTTACAATGCCGAATGAGGACCGGTATGGCAGTTACTGCCAAAAGAAACAGGCGGAGCACAGCCTCAGACCTGTCTAATCAGCTCTCTTCAGCCTGGTACGGACAATTTCAAGGCAGAACTGACAGACGCTTAGGGAGATGGTAATGTAGTACACCTGTAAGATGTGTTTCACTTACTGCAACTCACTGTCGCTTGGGTTAGCCTGGAGTAGAGTAGAGAGTACATTGTGGCACTGCAACAGTGGCTTGTGTGATGTTTTCCGACAAGTCCAGGTTTAGCTTTTATGATTGTCGCCGGACTTTCATATGGAGCGCTCCAGGTACCCGTCACCTTCAAGAAAACATCATTGAACGACACCGTTACGGTGGTGCAGTGCTCGTTTGGGAAGGAATTATTCTGGGTTTCAGAATTGACCTGCATGTTTAAATTGGAACCATGAAGCATATCTATGGGACGCATTCTGGAACAACAGTCTTTGTTCGGGGGCCATGGGGCACAATTTTATTTATGGATGACAATGCCGTTTCATGTGCAAACACGTAAGTGAATGCCTTCAATCGGAGGATATCACCCATATGGACTGGCCAGCATTCCACCGGACTTGAATCCAGTAGAGCACGTGTGGGTATGCTTGGCCGACGTTGCAGCCGTCAACCTCCTCCTACATGTCTACCGGAACTTCGGAGACATTGTTTTTGAGTGGTGTAAATCCCCCAAGATCAGATCGATAATGTGACACTCAGCATGCCTAGGCATTGTTCTGTGGACTGTATTGCACGTCTGGGAGAAACAATGTATTTAACAATCATACCAACATGTAATATGGTTTTTTTTGTAAATAGGTTTTTTGAATTTGCTCCAGGGAGAAAAAATCGCTAATTTTTTTAATAATATCAAACATATAGCATCCTTTTTGTCTTTACCTTTTGTTAATAAATAAACTTTACAAATAAGTCCATTGTTTGCTTAACTCTTTTTTTGCCTGATGGCATCATCCTTAATTTATGAATATGAGGTTAAAAAGGGCTGCCTACTTACTCAGTTTCTAACAGGGCAGGTTCATCTGACTTACTTTGCATCGCTTCAGAGGCACGAAAACAACCATGCTCATGAGCGATGGAGGAGATCCGGACCACTATTGATATCGCAGAGAGATGCTGAACATACTCAGGCAGCAAGTAGCGGCCACATCATGATCGGCCAAAGCAATAAGAACTCGCCTGCATTGAAAGCATATCGATGCGTTATATTGCATGTAAAATCTCAACAGGTGAAGTAATTTTCAGCTGCCATCCTCGTTACCCGCAAGTCTATATGTCGTTCTTGTAGTAATTTTTTTATCTTAAGTATTTTCTGTTCTTTTCTGTTTATACTTATTTCCTTGAACTGTGAACCTTGAATTATGCGTTTTGCCTTATTTTATGTATTTTTTTTACTGTTTTATCAATCACTCTGTTAATTGCTCTTATATTGAAGCGTGCTCATTTATTATTCACATTGCAGATGCCTATTGTAATCATCTATTCATAACTCTTTAAATATGTAACTGAAAGTGCAATACACACTCTTCCATCACTGCACTATTGACTCGAACAGCATTTATTTGCACCACTATTTACATGCACCACATTTATTTGCATTCATCTTGAGAACAACATGCACCAAAGTGTGTAATGTAGACCAAGTTAATTCCGTCAGCGGAGCAATCTGGCCAATAAGCTAACTGCTCCAGTGAGTGGATCGGCTGCCTCATTGTCGTTGGAAAGAAAGTACTGAAATCTGCCATTCAAGTTCTGCTGATAATTTTATTTTTATTGATACAGTGAAAAGTCGTTAATCCGGACTCGTCGGGACTTCGGCGATTCCGGATCGATATTAGACATCAGTTAAATCTCTTAGATGGCATGCAGAAATTCTAAAATTAAAATATAAACCATATTTTATGAAATAAAGAACAATTATGATCTAAAGGGTATCAAAATTTAAAAAAAAAAAAGTTAATATTATGATTTACTTATTACATTTCTTTCAATAAGTTGTTTAGTTGCTTCGTTTTATGTGATAATACTTTCTCTTTAATTCTAAAAACAGACATAATTCTTTCAGTACAAAGTTCGCTGTTCATCCCGTAATTGCTGTGCCGAGAATACCGACTAACTGTCAATGAAATTTTTTCGTTTTACTAACCTCTCTGTCACCTTTTAATGTCTTATCCATTTTTGCAGCAATTACTTTTGTTTGATGGGCATCAAAACTACTTCGTTTTGTAGTCCTTTGGGCACTCCAGCATCGGAAATTTATTTGACATAATCGAAAGTCAAGTTTACTTTATAAATTGCTCTTCAGTCTGAAAAAAGTTTAAGCCGCCAGTCGAGATTAAGGAACAACGCAATCATCAACATACTGAAATAGATAATTAGATATTTTAGCTTATTTTTGTAATATTAAACGCGCAGCGAAACGTATTGCACTTGTGCACGCATATGCGCAGTCGTAAAGGTCTTACGTGCACGTGTAAACGCCTATGCGCATGTGTCAACGCGGCGCATGCGCAGAAAGTTTTAGCTTGAGGTCCGGATTGGGGTGCCCGAATTACGATTTGCTGTCTATCTTTAATCATGCTTTACTCTAAAAAAATCATTCATAAAAAAAAGAGGACTATACACAACATAGATACTTCCACAAAAAAGGATATTATGACAAAAATTTTATGAAAAAATACAAATCTAACTCTCTTTAGGAACTGAAAAAATATAGGCATAGGTGTATCAAAACACAAAATTTAAATAAATAAAACTTTTTAATAAATATTTATTATACCTTTTGGCAAAATACCTTTATAACAATTTGTTTCTCAAAATATGTTAAAAATTTATAATACTGATTAAAGAGTTAAGAATTTTATTAAAAGAACTAATTCAGTCAAACTACTAATATAGTTGCCTTGACAATAGTAAAACTATCATAGAGATTATTATTTAAGTTAACTTGGAGTCTCAGGCCTTTCTCCCAAATATATTATTTTGATAGTTCAGTTAATTTTTATACGGTAAAAATATGCTTGATCCCATTATTATAAAATTAACACATACCACATTTCATTTGATTCTACTTAAAATAATAACTTGTAAGCACATATAATACATTAATTACCTTTAACTTTCTTGCAACTTTATCATTTCCAGAAAACATAACACTTTCATTAAAATGATCAGGGAAAGATCTAAAATGAGAAAAAGATGTTTATAGTAAATTATCAAAAGGTAAAAAGTATGCTATTCAACTAAGAATCAAAATTACTTTGCAATTTCTAAAAGATTTTTAACTGCAAGTCTGACTTCTTGGTCATTTTCTTCTCTACCAGTATAAAAAAGCTCATTTTCAAAATATGGTGATGCTTTTTCAATAGCTCGTAGTTCTAAGAGGTATACAAAGTATAAATTCTTGAGCCAATGAGGCCCTTCTCCATCTGTGAAAGCTGGATCAAATCTCCTTTTGAATTCTTCAACATTAGGTCCCCATTCACCTTTGCCAAAACAATCTTTTGCTATAAAATATTAAAGAAAAAATGAGTTCTAAGATGACAAAAGAGCTGTTAATATAAATTATGATATAAAAGAAAATTATATGATGATTTCACACAGTTAGGTGTCAATATACATGTAAGATGATTAGAGTATTTCATGAATATAAAACTGATTAAAAAAGAAAATAAACAAAATTAAAAAGGCATACTTTATTGGATATGCATTTAAAAAAGTACTGAGTTTTTATGAGGGACACAAAATTAGCAACTTTTAAAATGTCAAAAATGCAACCTTAGTTTGGCATACATTTTAAATAAAACCCTCCTTCACAAATTCAGAAACAAGAACGTTTTTGAAATACTGGAAGTCCGACAACGATTTTTACATCAAAAGCAATGGGCGATGTGGACATACCAACATCTGTACAGAAAAATAGAAATGAAACATGATGACCTAAGATATTAGAATTCTGATAGTGTCCTAAGTGCCCATTTAAATTCAGTATACATTTGGGTGGAGACATCACACAGAACTGGAATTCATGAACATACCAGTAAAAGAAGTGATCTAAAACACTGATTTATAAACTAGCTGATTTATAAAGACAAACTCAATTCATTACTTAAGTATTCTCATACCTTCTTCAGAAAATGCTAAAGATTTTAAAAGAATCAGTAAAATATTTGCCAAATTTTTTTATTGAATAAAGTTACATATTTAACATCAAACAATTTTTAAGATTTTCATACTTTATCGAAAAAAAAAATGATAAAAAAATTAATGAGGAATGCAGTTTAATTTAGTATCTTTACAATTACTGGAGATTATTAGTTTTATTATCATGATTATCTCTAGAAAGATTTTGACAATGAGAATGCAAAATTACTTTTCTGAACCAATGAAAAAAGTGAATAAACTACTGATTTTTAATGGAAATACAAGAGCCAAATATGAAACAAAAAATTGTTTTATTTTAAGAAGCAAAATCACTTATGAAAAGCTTAAAAATAAGCATAATAAATTTTTATGAAATTCACAAATTATGCAGGAGGGAGAGATAAAAGAGGTTAAGATGCACCAAAATGTGTGATTTTTTTTAATTAAAATAATCTTCATAATGATTATAAAATCTTAGTCTTTATTAAGATATTATTTTTTAATATGCTGTGTTAAGTACTTTTTGAACTGCATATTAATTTCTTTTCAACTGATTAGTAATGCATGTTTTTATGTGGTATTCCTCAAAATTTAATTAAACACTGAACTTTCTCTACTTTCATATTTTTATTTATATTCCAAATACATTGTTATGTGCACAGAATGCAATGTGAAAACCACTCATGCTTTGCCCCAAAACCATGCTTGAAGACTAGAAGATGAAAAAATGTGCTGGGAAATAAAGTTGTAAGTTTTGTGAAGAAACTCATAATTTTTTATACACAGTATTTTATTGTTACAGCCTGAAGCAAACCTAATTCATATCAGGAAAAAATCAGAGGAGAAAGGTTTCAAAGAAAAAATAATAGCATGCATACTTTGTTAATCATTTACCATGTTCAGGATTTCCAAAATGTAAGGGAAGAGACATAGAAAGCGGCTTTGTAAAGAAAAGAATGATGAAGATATTACATTCATCAAATCAAAACATTCTGAATACAGTAACTCAAGTGAAACCAGTTTAACAGCAATGAAAACTAAATGAAGGAGGAGATGGAAAAGCACAGATGAGATAATGAAATATACAGACAAGCTGCTTGATTATAAATTTGTATGAAAGTGACAAGTCAGTAACTGAATTCAAGTTTCTTGATATCACAGCTTGTGTTCTTGATAAGAATATCAACATGCCTCAGAGCAAGGTAAAAGCAAACGTTTTCTAAGAAAAACTGAAAAATGTATGCATTTTTTTATTATTACAGTACAAACTTGGTTGGAAAATTATCTAAAAACTAAACAGAAGGTCAGATGCGCAAATACAGCTGAATGTTTCACTGAAGGTGGAAGACTTTAGATTTTTCAGACTAAGCCTAATTCAAATTTCAAAACTACTTACACACACAGCATATGTTAATGTTCTGATAACTAATAAATTAATTTTTAGTATTTTCAACATTAGTGGTGTTTTTAATACTGTCAGATTTTTTTTAACATATATTTTCAACCAAGTTCAGGATCAGATCAAAATTACTTTGATATTAATCTATGGGGAAAATGTGCTGCATAACTAAAACCATTTTGATTGCATGTGTACATAAATTTTCACAAATTATAATTAACTGCAAATGCACATTGTTGAAAATACAGAAAGTAGATGGCGTTGCTTTGCAGTAGAATGAATGCAAACAAGAAGAGTTTGGGTTCATACTGTGTACTGGTAGGCAAACATTATGCAATCCAGGAAAGAGAATGGAACCGCGAGTCAATTTACTATGCAAGATAATTTTTGTGAAGAACATAAGTCCACCTAAAAAACCTGGATAAATATAAGTATGTATATAAAACAATACAATAAATGTTAGAGATAAGAACCATCTAATGGTGTGCTTTACTGGATGGGCCACTTTGTGCTAATGCTGTTCTCATGTGGTGTATCGGTTGGGAACTGTTTTGATTTGTAAAAAGAGAAAAATTGTGAACTTCATGTAAATGGACATGTCCAGATCATGCCCATAAGAGCATTAGTAATATAAAATTTTAAAAGCATTCGATTTGAATTTTGATAATTTGCAGTCTTCGGTACAATTAGATATTAACACGAAATATGGCAGAACTAGATGGATAGATTAAAATGGAAGAGGATCATACTGAGGACAACTGTTTCTAAACTATTAAAGAAGGTTGAAGACAGTTTAACAAAGATAAAAAAGAAACAGATGAATTATGTGAAAGGCATAAGTTTTTATTAGAAAGGAAAAGTGGCTTGAAAAAAATTATATGAGACAATTCCTTCTGTAATTAATACCGATTCTTTGAAAGGGATGTACATAGTTCTGAGGAATATCAAGAAAAATGTTTTCAAGTTATTAAATGAATTAATTAAGTGTTAGAAGAGGATAAAATAAGTATTTAAGATCCTGAATATAACATGGTAGATTGCAAAATGTACAAAATACTGTAAAACTTTCAAAACTAGCGTCAGAAAAATATTCAGATGACCTTAAAAAAATTCACATAGTTTTGGGACAGTTATGAAAGTTCTATTAGTGAGAAATCAAAGTCTTAGTAAGATAGAACAATTCACACATCTAAAAATACTGATCATAGGTGCTACAAGTAACATATTATTGCATGTGTATGGGTTCGTAATAAATTGAATGCTCAAGTCCAAAAGTGAATAAAATTTATTATCACAACAAATAAAACAAGATGCTTAAATTTCCTCAGATATTCGTACAATACTGCAATATCTCACAGTAGTTATCTTTTAAACTACTCAAACATTCAACAGACCTTAATTTAAAACAAAGAAATATAGAAAAAGCTAATCCAGTCACATCGTGAATTCGCTACAGTAAACAAAAACAGTTTTCTAAACAGCTCAGCTGAGATGTTGTTTCTCTGGATTTTATAGCTTTTTAAATCAGCCGCACAAGATTGTTCTAGCACAAAGAATAGAATTACGGTTATGGCTAGTTAATTAACATTTATTCAAATTAAATATAAATTAAAAGAGATATTTAATTATTAAATGTTAAATGCATGTGCTCTTGTATTTTTAATTTTATGGCTTACCTTTTTCTTAATATTCGTCACACGCTGCACCGCACAGAGAATAAAACAATTTAATTTATAATTCTACTAACATTAGCTATATAAATGCCAAATCCATAACAATATCTTTATCAGAATAAAACAAAAAGAATTATGATGAGAATATAAAAAATTTTAAAGATCCGGGAAAAAATAAATAACAATTAGTCAACTCATGAACAAGTTGTTAAATCTAGAACCAGTGAAAATTTCAAATAATATTAAAGCTTTATGCAGATTACATGATAAAACTGCAAGTACAGTTTGAAATTTGGAAGTGCATGATGTTACAAAAAATTCATTTGGTCAGCTATTAATATCACTTTTTTTAAATGTATTCTAGACGAGTTCATTCCGGAATTTATTTGAAGGGAAAAAATGAAGAAATTAATGTATTAGACTTGTTGAATTTCATAAAATATGAAATTGAATGTCATGAAGTGTCAAGTTTATTGATGCAAGAGAAAAAAATACCTTGCCTCCCCATTTCGGACATGCCACGCCTGATTATATAAAATTACATAGAAATGTACCTATGGCTACAATTTTTAATGTTGTTGATAATCATGCATGTATCTTAAAAAAATAAAACTGTTTAAAATGTGGATTTAAATCGCATCATAAGTCACTATGTATGCATAATACAAATTGTAAAAAAATGCAAATGGCTTCAAAATGTACAGGAATTATGTTAAAACATGTAAGAAAATTCTGTAGATGAAATACAAAACTGCCTGAAAGAACGCATACTTTCTGCTGCTCCATATAATAACTCACATAAGAAAAATGCTTCATTGCCAGCATATTCAGTGTTAGCTCATAATGGTAGTACATCAGAGTTAAATAATTTAATTCTTGATTGTGGAATGAAGCTTTGTTCATGTTAGTGCGGTGAAGAAATTAAAAATTGCTGGAGAAGAAGCACAGTCTGTTTATTCTTTCAGAATGAAATGCACAATACCTTAAAACATACAAAATTGCCAAGTTTTATATTTCAGATGCGAAGCAAAAGAACAAAATAAAACTAGCCGTCTCATCACTGATGCCATTAAGGCAGCACAAATGACCATGCTGTCAAAATAAACGCTGAAAGTGATGAATGACTGGACCGTAAATTGCTTGTTTAGATAAAAGAAGTGTTGGAATTCCAACAGGTGTTGATTGTGGAATGAAGCTTTGTTCATGTTAGTGCGGTGAAGAAATTAAAAATTGCCGGAGAAGAAGCACAGTCTGTTTATTTTTTCAGAATGAAATGCACAATACCTAAAAC